TAACTAAACTTCTTTTCTCTTGCTGCTTTTAAAATTCTCTCTTTATCACAAATGTTTGGCATTTTAATCATGATGTGTCTTGGAGTGGGCCTCTTTGTATCCATTTTGTCTGGGATTCTCTGTGCTTCCTAGACTTGCATGTCTATTTCCTTCACCAAATTAGGAAAGTTTTCTTTTTTTTTTTTTTAATAGATTTTAAATTTCTTGCTCTTTCTCTTCTCCTCCTGGCACCCTTTTGATGTAAATGTTGGGACTGCCTGAAGTTATCCCAAAGGCTGCTTATACTATCCTCATTTGGGGAGATTCTTTTTACTTCTTGTTGTTCTGATTGGTTGTTTTTGGCTTCCTTGCGTTCCAAATCATTGATCTGATTCTTGGTTTCATCCACTCTACTCTTGTTTCCCTGTAAATTATTCTTTATTTAAATTAGAGTATGCTTTGTTTCTGACTGGATCTTTTTTATGCTGCTGAGGTCCTCACTAAGTTCCTTGAGCTTCCTTACACCAGTGCTTTGAACTCTGCATCTGATAAGATTGCTTATCTCCATTTCACTTAGCTCTTTTTCTGGAGTTTTGATCTGTTCTTGCATTTGGGCCATGTCTCCTTATTTTGGCAGCCTCCCTGTGTTTGCTTCTATATATTAGGTATAACTGCTATGACTCTGTGTCTTGGTAGTGAGGCTTACTGTAGTACGTGTCCTGTAGGGTCCAGTGACACAGCTTTCCCTATCACCCATGCTGGGCACTCAAGATGCACCTTTTGTGTGGGCTGAGTATATATCCTCTTGTAGTTGACTCTTGGCTACTGTTGGCCAATAAATGGGAGGCATTACCCAGGCCAAGCAGCTGCAAGGATTGGCTGTGACCACTGATCACCAACCTCCGCTCTCCATGGATGATCAACTGTGCAAGGACAGGGTGGTGGTGCTCTGACATGGTCTGTAGCTGTCCACTGGGTGCACTGGCCCTGGGATTTGCCAGGTGGTGTAGGCCAAGGTCAGCCGCTACCTGTGTTTTGCCCAGGGGTTACCTTGCCTGAGCTATAAAGCCATCTGAGATGGCCGCTACTTGTGCTGGGCTTGGAGAATCCCAGGCAAAGCAAAGCTGTGAATCTAAGCTGGCTGCTGCTTGTTGGAGAGGATTTAGGAAGTTGTGAACTATCAACCAAGACCAGCCATTCATTTGGAAAAGCAGCTTGAGTGGGCCTGTAAGTTTCTGGGGATCTCCAAGGAGGGTCAAACAGTATTAGCCAGGTTAATGGAGTCTCAGATATGGCACCAGCTTGCCAGCTTCACTGGGGGAGGGTTTAGAAAGGGGACAACGGCCTCTGCTTGCCCTGATGTCAAACACTTCAGTCTCTCCCTTTATACCACTGGTGCCTTTCAAGCTGCCTCCCCAGTGCTGGAGCTCAGAGGGAGTGAGTCTGATTAGGTGAGTCTCTGTGTGGGTTCTTTAAGAGGAACTGTTTGGGTATCCAGCAGTTTCCTTCACCGACTCCATGCCTGCTGGTTTTCGCAGCCAGAAGTTGTGGGGACTCATCTTCCTGGCACTGAAACCCTGGGCTGGGGGGCCTGGTGTGGTGCTGGGACTCTGTGCTCCCAAGATATCCCTCCCAAATTTTTATCCACCGCAAGTGGGTGAGGGATCAGCCCATTCTGCATCTGTGCCCCTCCTACCAGTCTGGATAGATGTGGTTTCTTTAATTCCATAGTGTCAGACTTCCATTCAACTCAATTTCTGATGGTTCTGGATAATGGTTGTTCTATATTTTAGTTGCAATTTTGATGTGGTTGTGCGAAGACACAAGTCATGTCTGCCTGCGTTGCTATCTTGACTGGAAGTCCTGTCACGTCCATTTTAATTATATAATCAGTTAAAGGCAAGCACTAGATCTTTCTTATTTCTCCATCTTCAGCTTCACAGTGATTTTGGTGCGACCACTGTAACATTTTCATATGCCCCAAACTTTCATACCTTAATACTGCGTTTCTATTACCCTGCTGGTATCCTGGTACATCTCATACCTTCATTCAATAATCCCAAAGAGGTTTTCCACTATCCTCTGCCTCTCAACATTGACGATATCACACAACCTTGGACCTCTTACATGGTGTCAAATGAAGATTTCTTGACCCTCAAGGTGATAGTCCTTCTCTCCCACAACATTAATAGATGAATTAAAATCACTACACTGTGCTAAGCACACCTTATTTTCCTTTACCATCACTGGTTTTAAACTCATCCAGGCCAAGGTAATTGGAACAGATCTGATATGTTAACTTAAGTGAGATGGTTTTTCATTTCAACTATAGCTAATGTGTCACCACATCCTTGGTAGGGGTCCTGTCAATTTTTCTGCTTCTCTCTTCTCCTTCATCCCCTGCCTTAAAAAAAATTATATAAATAATTCTACCTGATTCAATGCTTATTTTCTTTGTTCCTGTTATCATATCCATCCCAGCCGTAACTTAAGTCTGAATAGCTTAAACTTTCTTTTCATTGGTAAAGCCCATTACTACTAGTTGTGAGAACAACTCTGAATATTTTGCTGTTCTCCCATTAAAAGAATCACATGGGGTACGCAAACATGAGGAGTCCCCCTGGACAGTGCCTAACAGAGTTTCAGGAAAGTGCAATACAAATTGGCATAAACTAATCAGGGTTTTCACTGTCTGTAATACTTGTAATGCTTCCACAGAGATAAACCCATTTCACTCTTAGTAAAAGGACTATACAATTTTCCTTCTCAGATTAATTTGCTGCATTCCACACCTCACACACTCCAAAAGTGAGCGCTGATATTTAACTTGGGTTCTCTATGGATCAAATGCTGAACAGTCAACAAATTGTTGATTAACCAAATGTCTTAGTTGTTTAGCCTGGGAATCCAAGAAGGCAGAGACTCCTCAAAAATATAACCAAACTCCATTATGCTATAGTCTTAAACTGTGTATAATCTTATTATAAGACCAGGTAAAGGCACACAGCTTAGTTCAGAGACCTGAGTAGGTCCCAACTTCTCCTTGAGGCCAGAATTTTGATCTTAGGACTTAATCACCATTAAGTCAGCCACATGGAGAAAGAAAATCAGAGAATAATAGAGAAAGAGAGAAAGGCAGCCTTTCCCAAGGGACAGACTTGGTTTAGTATACCTGCACATTACATGCAAATGAATTAGTGGGGGGTTGAAAAGAGGCAGTCACATGTGCATGACATATTAATGTACAGGGACCTTGCTTCCAGTAAGTGACATTCAGTTCACTTCTCAGGGGGTGACCAAGCAGGTTAGCATTTTCTTCTCTTGGAGAAAAATATGATTGAAGTGGGCCAATAGGCAGCATGGAGAACAGGAGAGGAGCTCTCTTTACTCCCTACTCTCAGTAGAGCACAATGAAAAGGTAGAAAGAGTCTATCATTGTAATACAGGATTATCTCACTTTCTATTTTACGAAGGTCTTGTTAATGGAGGCACCCCTGAAACAAGTTAGTTTCTAGTTCTTAATTTGCCAAATTGGCTGTGTACTTTGCCTTTCTGAATCTTTTTATGTTCAATAAAAAAAATAATATTCAATGAGGTGATCTTTAAGTTCCCTACAAGATCTAAGATTCTATGATTTTATTATTATATGTCCAGATCTCATTACCAAGTTGATTGTCAGTTGCTACTATGGGGCAGGGATGACGGTTTATGCACCCTTCACATATTTAGTGTTTTTTTTACAATTAGTATCTTTTAAAAATGTTGGTTGAGGCATGGAAAAGTGTATATTGCTGCCTTCAATTTGTGTGAACAAGGGAATGGAGGGAATTCACATATATACATTTACATAGAATATTCCTGGATGTATAAACCAGAAACTAATACTGGTTGCTTTTGAGCAAGGGGGCTGAGGGACCAGGAGTTTGGGTCGGGGCACCGGGGAGTTATTTTTCAGTGTAAATTGTCTTTTGTCCTTATAGTCTGCTTTTCCCTTGCCATTTCTCCTCCAGCCACACCGCTCTTCTTGTTATTCCTCCAATTTATAAACTATGCTCCAGATTCAAGGCCCTTGCACTTGCCCTTCTGGAAATGCCTGGAATACTCTTCCTCGACACTCTCAGAAGGTTTGCTGCCTTACTTAATTGTGGACACTGGTCAAATGTCACCTTATTACAGAGATTCCCCTGATTACCTGTATGTAAAAACTCCCCCTCCCCGTACGTCTTATTTTAGTGTTTATTTACAGTGTGACTCTCTTTCGGATCCCTGAATGATACATAATAGGCAAACAACAAGTACTTGAATTAATGCACTGAGATGGGAGTTTTTAAAAATCATATATCTAAGTTTCTTTTTCAAGAAAACCCACCACTGAAGGAAGAAATGCTGATGAATTAACTGTTAGATGTTCATAATGAAAGAACTAAGTCCAAACTTCTTTCCTCATTATACAGGGCTTTTCTTACCTGCCACTGATTAGCCACGAGCAAGTTATTAAACGTAAATTCCGTTTCTTCATCCATAAAGTGGGACTATTAATCATTACAGCTGACCCTTGAACACCTAAGGGATTGGAGTCCAACAAACAGCAGAAAATCCCCGTGTAATTTAAGTAAGCACAGCGCATATGCGGATTCCCAAGGGCGGATAGAAAATACACATGATTAAGATTACATGTAGGTGAAAATGCTATGATAGTTACCAAAAACACACTGCTTTTTCCGCACTTGGAGCGTCGAAGCAGTACACTGTGTCAACTTGCGCAAAAGTCCGGAGCGAAGTCTCCAGAGGCGCGCGAAAGACGGATCTGTGGCGCGCCGGGCGTACCTCCCCGTAGCCGTTGCTAGGGAAACCGCCCTCAGTCCCTAGAATCCTAGCTCGCGCGGCAAAGCAACTCCGCGCGACCTTCTTGCTGCGTTAGCAATTGGTGGAGCATGGACCAATCAGAGGAGGCCGGGGGCGGGGCGGGCCAAGTCTGGGAGAAGGCGTTCTAGCGGCCTTGCTCCCCAACTTCCGGGTCACGGTGCTCGCGGGGAACGCTGTGCTAGTAGCGTCGTTTCCGTTGCCGGCTGTTTGCAGTTGGGGAAACCGAGGCAGACTCCAGCTCCCCCTAGCTCTTCCGCTTCTGTGAGGTGGCTGCTGTTTCTTTCCTCTCGCCCCAGGCTACTTCCATGTGGGTGTGCTGAGAGCGCACGGGGTGCGTGAGCCCCGCGGTGTCCCACGGCAGATCCGCGGCGCCCGAGACGGTGGGGCTTTGTGCGAGCTGTTCCTTCCCACTCGCGGGCAGCGAGCGAGCTGGGCTCCTCCAGACTCCGACATGGGGATTCGGCGCAGCGACTCCCCGCTGTCTGGGGAGCTCGAGCGCCGCGAGGCTTGCATTCCCTCCGCCTAGCAGTTCTTTTGTCTTGATGAGCGCCGAGTAGATGGGTTCTTTTTCACGTTACAGTTCAGCCCATCTCTGCTGTGCACCGTTTCTTCACTGATCTGCGGGGATTTCCAAATTGACAGTCTGTCAGACCTTCGTCTAGAGATGATGTATAGCTGGGAGTGCTTAAGGCAGGAAGGAGATGAACATTTTTGTTTGTTTTTAAATAATTGCTCACTTTCATTGGCCCCATCGCTCTTCGTTTAGGAGCTGAAGGTTTTTCTTGTGACGTAAAGATTCAATTTTATTGAAGGTGTAGTTCACTGTCCTCCTTAGTATTTCAGTCTTTCACCTGTTGAATGGAAAAATCAAGACTTAGCCAGGATGTGATCTACCCAGTGTTCATCCCGTATACTTCAATTTGTAAGCCATATGTAGTGTTTTTATGTGCTGGCAACACCTGAATGTGGGATACATGTAACTGAAGTCATCCATAAGGGGTTAAGAAGAGCTTATTCCTTATAATAAAAATTCTAGTACATGGTATATTTGATTTAATTGTTGCTTAGTTAGGTTCCCTTTGTTCGTAAACTGTTGAGCCCCAGTTCTCAAAGAGTGACAAATTAAAAAGAGGGAACTGAGAGCTTAAATTTAAGTAAGTAGTTTTGACTTACAGTTAATTTTTAAAAAGTGATAAATTGGCCATTCGACCAGCTATCATTTAATCTAAAAGTATGTAATACACCTGTTATTGTTTTCTTAGATTCCTTAAACACTACCACAAAATAGACACAGTAGAATAGTATAACAGATACTAATATAATTTAAGATTTGATGAGTTGAATAAACTAATTTTTTTCCTTTCCAATTTAAGGTCATTAAATCTGTCATTTATTTCCTTCTCCAGGAAAAAAAAATGTTTATTTCTCTGTGGGACTTCTTCTATGGGCACTTTTTTCGATTTTGGATGAAATGGCTCTTACGACAGATGACTGGAAAGTGTGAATTGCAGCGAATTTTTGATACCTATATAGGTGCACAGAGGACACACAGGATAGGTAACGTTATTTGAAAAAGAATAAAAACTAATAAAACTTTAATTCTGAACAAATATTTTTTTCCCTCAATATTCACAGTGACATATGCACGCATTGTGTATCCTGATCAAGTTGCTTAAACTCAGTTTCATAATCTTTGGAATCTAACATTGAATCCCTAAAACTGTATGATTTTATAGAAAAAGAAAAGGATTATTATTTAATTCCCCATCTGTATGAACAATTATTTTCTCTGGCTCCTGAAATTCATCTGTTGTTTCTTAGATTATAGTTGTAACCATTATTTTAGAGAAAAATCTCTGTACTTATATAAGACCCTTTGAAATTTTCACCCAAGTGATGGGAAAGAGTGAGTGTCTGGATCTATTCAATAGATCCATTTTTATACTCAACATCTTTCATCAATCTTTTAGTCTCTTATGTAATTCTTGAAAGGACAGGAATAGGTATTTAGTGAGCCCTAGGAAAGATTATTGGGCTCAAAATCTGCACTGTTCAGTACTCTGGCCAGTAGCTACATGCGGCTATTGAGCCCATGAAATGTGATTAGTATGAATTGAGATACTTGGAAGTATAAAATATGCACTGGGTTTTAAGACTTCCCATGAACAAAGGATGCAAAAATACCTCATTAGTAATTGTTCATATTCATTATATGTGGACTATTTTGGACATATTGGTTTAATATACTTTAGATACATTGATTTAAAATAGTAAAAATTAATTTTACCTGTTTTTTTTTTTTACTCTAATGTGGGTACTAGAAAACTTTAAAGTACATTTGTGGCATGCATTTTGGCTTGCATTATATTTCTGTTGAATGGTACTACTCTATTACCTTCTGAAATTCATCAGCTTTCAATGTGTAATTGAAAATATCGCTTTAAATTAGAACACAGATGAGTGACAAATGCGGTGGAGGTCATTTCTCTCAGGCCAGGGTAAAGTAGACCAGGGATCAGCTGCAGTTCATGCTCACTTTGTTAAATGGAAAGTCAAGCCTTCTTTTGTACTGAACAAGGGTGCTTCAACGGAGAAATCAACCCCCATAAGATTTGGGAAGTGGCTGTTGGTATCCAAGGCAACGGGAAAGGATGACAGACATAAGAGAGAGTGAGCCTCAGGGAAGCTGGATGATTGAAATTTAATTACTTCCCTAGTTTTCTCACAACTTTGTGACTGACTGAAATTATTGCCTGCTCTTTTGATTTACCCTTTCGACTGTTTTCAGAAGAACAAAGTACCTCTTGATAAGAAATCTTGGCAGTACTGGTGTTTTATAGCGTGGGGGGAAACATGAAAAGGCCTTACTTTGTGGCAGAAGCATTTTTTCAAATTTTTCATGTTGCTGAGAAAAAGACTTTAAGTAAATGTGCCAGAAAAAGTTTTTAAATAAACTCGTAAATATGTTTTAGTCATTCTTGAAACAGAATGGAGAAGCTGCTTTGCTGTTTGTCTGGTTAGAGGTGGTCAGGCAAATAATCTGAAGTCTTTTCAGCTTTGCCCCTGTGTTGTTCATTCATGATTCATTCAGTTGCTAGCTCCTGAAATGGAAACTCTTCCTCCTTAAGGGTAGCACATGAAGAAAAGGTAGTAGAGACACCATCTTAAGACTATCCCTGGAGTCTTAAGATGCGTTTCTGGAACAGGAGCTTATTCCCAGAGAGCTGTGTGTGAATTTGCAGTGGTTAGTAGGCACTTGGGGTCTGCGCAGAAACCAAGGACCCAGGGGAAATTAGGTTGACTCCATCTCTTTGGCTGTGGTATGTTACGTTGGGTTGAGGATTTTGGAATCATATAGTGTTACGTACTGTAAGGATGAAATTTTTAAGTGCTTGCTGTTATTCATGTAAAAATTACATCTTCTAGAACTATGAAAGTAATTTATTATTGGCGTGATATTTATACTCTTTGCTTATGGAGTAATTCACAAACAACATGTAGGTGATAATGCTCTCTCTCTTTTTTTTTTTTTAAATTTCAGAAAATTCCTTGACGTACTCCAAGAATAAGGTAGGATCATAATTCAAGGTGATAATTCAGAAAACTGGGAGATACTTTTTGTTTAAAAGAATGCCTCAATTTTAGAATTAATTATTAATGTCCTCCCAGAAGAGTCTTTGCTGTAAAAAGTACTGAGTGAAATTTTCCTACTTTACAAGTAATATTTTAGGTTTAAAATATTTTCTTTGTGTGTGTGCTGTTCATGCACAAAGAAGGTATTTGAATAATCTGTCCTGTTCTGAGGTTTTGCTTGTTTATTTTGCCTCATGACTTGGTAGTTTTGGGGGAAGCAGGATCATGCCGGGAAACCGTCTATCAGATTGTGTCCTTAGGATAGGTTCTTCTGTGAGGAAAAAGCCAAGCAATTTTGGGCAGTGATAGAATACCCTGGGTCATGCAACTTCTGATCCAAAATATGTCATACCTCATGTTATTTGTTAGTCAGCTTTTGCTGTGTAACAAGCTCATAAAATCTCAGGAGCATATAGCAGTCTGTTACTTGTTCCTTGCTTGTGTGTCTGTTGGCCATCTGGAGAGACCTTTTTTAAGCTGGTGCCAAGTTCAGGTCGGTTGTCACTCTGTCATTCTGGGAGCCAGGTTGGAAAGGTAGTGAGTACCTGGGGAATGTTCTCACAGTGGATCATTCAAGGCCTAAGCACATGGACATATTGTAAGTTTCCTGGTGTCGTATCCATTACCATTCCATCGGCTGAAGTAATTTATGTGGCCATGCCCTAGAAAGCATAGAGAAATAACACTGCGCGTACCATAAGGCCATGGTAGGCAATGGGCATAGAATTCCATTACAGGGGAGTGAAAAATTGGGACCAATAATTTAGTCTACTACATGCTGTACTGCCCTGTAATAGTCCACAATTTTTTTTTCTATGTATACGTATGATGTGGCCAAGGTACAGCATGGGTCACGTGGACCATGGTTTGAAATCCCATCGTAGATCACGGCCAGCATTAAACAACCACCACCGCCAAAGGAATAGAATAGAAAATAATTAGAAATCACTGGTCATAATAAGGTTAAATGTTGTTTTGTGAAATTTTAATTGTAGCTATCTGGATGTGCATCCATATACTTTAGGTATTATATGTATGTGTGTACTTGGTCATGGTACATAGTGTGAGACAAAAATATAGGATCAAAAAATGCGGACTTGCTGCTGTCTGGAGATAATGATATGCAGAACTGATTCATGCCAGACACAAAATGGACCTTGTTGAATATTGCAAGCATATCAGTTTTGTTCTAGAGAGTGACCTGTGAAAATAATGAAACATTCGTATTCTGTGAACCTACTAAGATGAATGCATGTATTTTTTATAAGCAGGATATGGAAAGATAAACTAGATACTTCTGTCCTCAAAGAATTTTCTACTTATTGTGTAATATCAAAAGTGGTAAGGGTAATAGAAAGATCGCAGATACATTAGTGTAGGGATTCTAAGAGAGGAGCGGTTACTCCCACTTGAATACAATCAAGTGGACCTGGTGTGTGAGCTGGTTTAAAAGTAGGGCGGACTGACAGGGTTAGAGATGGAGGAAAGGAGCGATGCAAATGAAAGCACAGGGTAAGCAGAGGAATGACGGGGGGATTTTGCCTGGAGTATGAAGGATCCCAGAGATGGACGAGAGCTGAAGACACTTGAAGGGTTAGGAAGGGCTGCACTTGCCTGCTGTATGGAAGGAAGGAGCCCGTGGACATTGATAGGGTGCACTATTTAAGAAATCTGTATGCATAGAAAAAAGACCCACAGTGCACATACTAATCTGTTATCAATGGTTATCACTGGTGTTTTTTTCTTTGTGCTCTTCTGCATTAAAATTCTTTTGTACCTACATTTTTATTGTGTAATTTTTGAATTTTATAAAAAGCATCTGCTTCATAAACACACTATGGTGGTAGCTCCTTTGCTAAGAGAACCTGTCGATTCTCAGTTAAGGAAGCCTTCATCTGAAACATGTTGCTTCTCTTTCAATTAATTAAATAATTGCTTGAATGATTTAAGCTCTAGTGAAAATTTGAAGCAAATTTGGTTTCATTTTGTATTTTAATACCTATATTGTAGAGTTGATTAAATACCTTAAAACCTACTGTTCTTTTTCAGCTATAAGGGATTTTTCTCAGTCAGCTTTTTGTCACATCAACAGGTTTTACAGGAAGCGACATTTGTTGCTCAGAGTGAAGTGGACAAGTATGTAGAAGATATAATGAAAGAAAAGAATATTAACGCCGAGAAGGATGTCAGGTATGCTGTTTTGGCAGGCTTCGTTTTGGCTATGCTTCTGCGTCCTGTGAACTGTAGAGACCATCCACAGCTGTCGAGAGCTAGAGCCGAAGGGGTTGGGGAGCTGATCTGATCCCACCCTTCCACGTCAGTGTGTGAGGAACGGAGGTCCAGACAGGGGAGTGATGGGAGCGGAGTGAAGCCTGTGTCTGTGGCCTCCTAGCCCAGTACTTGGTGCTGCCAGTTTACCCTCTGCCTTCTTTAGGGCAATTTACCATACCTTTCCCGAAGTTAAATAACTGCGGTTAGTGTGCCCTTCCTGTCCTTCAAAATTCGGTTCCTCTGTCCTCCTCCCTGGCTTCTGCAGCCTGAGGTAGGGACTTTGCTCTGTCCCATCGCAGAGCTCTCCCTCCACCATAGTATAACCATTGTACTGTGTTCGTTGATCTACCCTTGTCCTTCCCCTCATGTTGCAATGAATTGTAAGTTCTGTAAGAGGAGGATGTGACTTACTCCATTGTTGATTTCTTGGGACCAGTACATTGACTTGTAAATATTTAGAAATTTGTTCTTTTTCAGTAGTTGCTGTGTAAACATAGACGAAGGAGCAATTTATTTGGGCTGGAACAGGGAAGGGCCCAGGAGAGGACTGTGAGGTAGTTCCGCAGAAGAGGTGACATTTCAGCTGGGCCTCGTGGATGGGTCGAGAGGCCGTGGCGTGCAGAGGAAGAACGCCAGCAAGGCCTTGCGGGCGCTGCGGCCGGGGGGTGACAGGGCGCCTTTGCGGCTGGGGCCTTGGATTACTGCAGAGCGGAACTCAGAGAAGTGAACGCAGGGCTGGAGTGCGTGCCACAGTGAGGGGCAGATGCTGTCCTCTGGCTTTCTGTCTGTCTTTTAAAGCGAACAAGCTATGTTATCAGAAAGTGGAGGGTAAATTGGGGGGCGAGGGGAGGCTGGCAGAAGGAATAAAGACAGAGCATTAGGAAACAGTCCTTCAGGTAGAAGAGGACAAAGCCATAAACACGTCAGCATAAATGGATATATGGTGATTGCTTCGAGGGACATTTCAGAGATAGAAAGGATGAGGGTTGGGGGGTCTTCTGATATATTGTTGGTGGAGAGTGGAAGGTCAGAACTGGAGAGTTCTGGCTCAGGAACTAACGATCGCTGGTGTCATTAATAGGTTTAACGACTTACTAAGAAAAAGCATGTCTCTTCAGGGAAGATAAATGTTTGCATTTGGGAAAACTGAGGTAACATTTCCTGGACCTGTTTGTTATATATATGAGGGAGGACCCTCCCCCACCCCAAAAAAGGAATTTGTTTATAAAAAATTATGTATGTATTCTTTCATGTTTAAATTGCAGTCACCTTCAAAGTAGTCTCCATCTGATTCAGTACATTTAATGAGATGTTTTTCCCACCACCTAAAACACTTTTTGAACTTGTTGACTTTGATGCCTTTTAGTGTTTCTGCTGTTTTTTGTTTCACTTCTTCCACATCAGCAGAATGTTTTCCTTTGAGGACTTTCTTCATCTGGGGGGAAAAAAAAGTTCTCCAAATGACGTCAGGTGAATAGGGAGGGTAGGGCACAGGGGTCATGTTCTTTCTGGTCCAAAACTGCTGAACCCTCAGTGCGGTGTGGACAGGTGTCCTTATAAATCACCCATCATGAAATGGGCAAACACGCTGAAAGAGTCTTCCAAAAAAAAAAAAAATTCACTGAAGCCGAACGCTGCCTCTCACAACAACGCCAGCTGGTGCACTGCTACAGATGGATTCCTAGAACACCCACCTAGTGGGGGAAACCTGTACCACAAGAGGCCTGCCCTCCAGAAGATGGTTCCAGTTTTTTTGGCTGCCTCCTTGTATACATATTTTTGGAAAATTAGGTCTGTTGATGATAACTGGCCATAAAGATTTAGGAATGTATGAAATTGCCCAAGAAAAACATGAAAAGGAGAAAATTGCTAAGCTTGCCACTCCTACCATGTCTTGTCCTCCCAGATCCCGATTTATCATATCCTTCCTGATACTTTATAAAAAGTTTTGTGTTTAAGGAGGCTATTGCTGCTTATCATATTAAACTGAAAGCCAGGAAATGGTTTTTAACTAGCCATATGAACTACAAGCTATGGAAGGCATTACATCATTGCGATAAGGAATGATTTTTAAAAAAATAATAATTCTATTATTTTCAGTTTTAAAATCTGCATGAAGGCATGCTTACTGCAGATATCTGGTTATAAACAGCTCTATTTGGATGTAGAAGGTGTGAGAAAAAGACCGTATGATTCCGATAACCCACAACATGAACAGCTGCTTCTCAAGGTAAGTTTCGTGTTCTGCATTCGGAGTTACTGAACACTGGGAAAATAAATCAGGCTTGAGCTAGTGAGGCCTGTGTGCCCATTCTCGAGGCTTATACAGCCATCCAGTTTCTTTGCCCCTTAGAGCATTTTATTGTGTTAGAGAAAGATTTTTAGTTAACTCCAAAATATTCTGATAAACACAATAAAAATGTATTCAAATAAGTTATATACGCTTTTATATATATATATATATATATATATATATATTCAAATATATTTTAAATGCTTTTAATTCTGAAACAGGTTGTAAACATATTAAGGGAAATCTGCTATTAATAAAAGAAAGGTCCAGATAAGATCCAGTCTAAGTATTGGATTTAGCTTCAGGACCAGCAAAGTCTTGACCCTGTTTTAAAGCAGGATCGCTAGTCTTCATATTGTTTTGGGTAGCAGGACACTCGTTTTACTAGGAGTCTTTTACTCATCAATGCCTGAAATGGTAATGAGATGGGGAAATGCAAGTATTTCTGTTTTGCAAATTTTCATACTTTCTTACGAATTTTTGTGAGCCTGTTTTGTTTGATCATGTGTGGTGTGAAATTTAGAAAATGATGAAATTTTTAAAACTTTATTTTGCATTGATTAGTTTGTTGCTATCTAATACATGGTAGCTGTCTTATGTTATTTCATGGTAGCATCTGAAATCTGATCTCCGTCTTAAGGAACATATTTAGTTAAAACTGGGTTATATTATTTTTTTTTAATTATGAAAATTTGAAGATAATAATCCTGTGGGTTGGAATACCATCCGTATTGTTTCTTCACGATCCCCTCCTTAACTCAGCCCTGTTTTCCTTCTTGTCGGTAGGGACAGATCACCCACTCTTAGAGCCCGCTTAAGTGTGTAGTGTCGGGGCAGGGCAAGGGCCAAGTACCTAACGCTGTTCTCAGGGAAGGAGTTTGCCAATTCTGGTGTGTATATGTATATATTACTTAGTAGGTAAGGGCATTGCATTGTTTGAGATTTCTGTGCATTTGTTATCTTCTCAAAATCTATTTTTTAGGTAAGTCTTTTAAATTGGAATAAGTATGCTACATTTTTTATGATAATGGAAAAGTTTTCTAAATACACTTTGTTGAACCTATAATCTGTCTACAAAGTTGTTCAATTAAAAGCATTGAACTTACTAGTTAGATCAGTTATGAGAAGGAAAAAAATCCTGGAAACTTAAGAACATCACTATTATTTGTAAAATGGAAGCATGTTTGCACAGCTTTGGAATCTTCTAATGCCTACAAAAAAGCTGAAGGCCAGAATCTCCAAGCAGTGGGCTGACATTGGTTTCCAGGGCGATGACCCGAAAACAGACTTCAGAGGCATGGGCATACTTGGATTGATCAACCTCGTGTGAGTGAAAATAAACCTTATTTTCTTCTCTAAAATGAAATTACATGTAATCTCCCATCTAGTTTCATACTGTCTCTGAATTTAAATAGTGGCAGTGCTGGAAGTATTTGCTGATGTGGTGGCAACAACGTGAAGACACTGGAAATGAGCGTGTATGTGGGTGTGATCTCTTTGCATATGAGGACCTTTCCTCTTCCTTTCTCTTCCTGACCTCCCTTCTGATACCTCCTCAGGAATTATTTACACTCTTTTCTTGCTTTTTTAAAACATCCTCTTGTGTCTTCTCTAGGCTCTCATTCCATTCTGGGAAATGTGAGCAGATAAGATGGTAACGGTCTCTCCACACTGAGTCTTTGGCGTATGTGACAAGGAATCCGAATCTCAGACTTTTCACAGCCTATATATGGGCTCTCTCTGCTTTTCTTCTTTAATACTTATGCTTGGGCAGGTATATGAAACTGCAAAATATGTCACTAAAATCATGATCGATAGCCAAAACTCTTCTAGAAAGTGAAGGACATGCGAATGAAAAGATTCTGGTGTTTACGTTTATCCTTGAATTGTGTTTATAGGCTGCAAAATGCCTGGAATGGGAACCCTAACCACTAACAAAGCTTAGGTGGTTACTGTAGAGAAATTAGTCCTGAAACTGAGCTCAATTATGTTCATGTTGAGAAAAAATATCTAGGTCAAGATAGATAAGGATACTTTGGGAGAAAATAGAAGACACAGAAGGTTTCAAAAAATGTAACTTTTCCCAGTTACCAAAGTATTTAATTTTCTGTAATACCTAAATTTTATGAGTATGAAAGTTCTCTCCTCTCAGAAATGAGTAAAGCACAGTAATATTTTTAAAATAATAATTACAAAAAACGAGATTGCCAGTTTTCTACTTTGATAAATAGAAACTTCTCTTTGGAGTTTAAGTAGAGAAAAAGTGCACTTTGTTTCCACTTGGAAAAATTATGAGATATTTTAAAATTTATTATTTTGTAAAACATAATTTTTTGTGTGTTTTTTTTTTTTTATCCTTTAAAAGCTGTCTTTATTCTCAGTACTTGTAAGCCACACAGATATATGAAGCAACTCACCATCAGTTAGATAGAGACACACTGTTGTGGTGTTTTCTTTGGTAACTTTTTCTGAGCAATCTGGCTCTTGACCGTTTTCCTCAGAAGTCGAGGTTTTCAGTATTTGCCAGTTTAGCTGAAAATTTAAATAACAGAATCTGATTCAAGACCATGGTAAGGGATTCTGACATACCTTTAAATGAATTACATATCGTTACTTTTATGTTAGGTAGAGCTAGTATCTACCAATTTGAAAACTGTTTAGATTCATATGTATGCTTTAATAATTGGTTGCCAGCGATGCCCTAGAAATGATTAAAAGGTTGAACAGGAGATTTGGTCCCTATCTTTTAGAACTCAAAGAGATTGCATGAGTTCAAGCCAACAGGATGTATGAGCCTACAAATAAACAGCTTTATCCATTTCTCCTAATACGTCAGTTGTATGGCCAGTATTTCAGTTATAGCACTGATCAAGGAGGATTGTTTTTAGTGCAAAACAAAGGTGGTTGGCTGTCCCTTCTGAGGGCACCCTGAACATGGCATTAAATAGAGCGGACAGCAGTTGCCCTGGACGGAGTGAGCCCAGGTGAAGGGAAGAGTGTCCTAACGGGTGGCCACTGGCCGTTTTGTAGAAAACCTAGAACAAATAGAAAGAACTCGAGATCTTTTCAAAAGTAGGTAGGAAGTCTCTTGTTAGAGAACTTACTTGTTCACATACCTTCACGTCTCGCCAAGGGCCTGTGCGGGTAGAGCCCTGACAGCTCAGCATTAAACTCCTCCGACTGACATGGAGAGACCCGCGCTAGGGCTGTCATTTGGACAGTAACTGTGTAAATTGCTTCTGGACAGCTTCACTGTGAATGACTTACGCTAATGTTATTCTTTTTCTGAAACATTTTAAGGTATTTCAGTGAAAATTATACCAGGGAAGCTCATCAGATTCTTTCCCGTTCCAATCATCCTAAATTAGGGTAAGCTGGATGTAGTAAAGAAACTGTAAGCTCTTAAATTTAAGTTGGTTAGATGATCTGAATTTGAGAGTATTTCAAGGTATTTCTTAAATGAGATTATTTTAATTAATAAGAACTTTAAAGGATATTGCATGCTGTATTATTTTTAAGGCTAAATATGATCATAAGCCAGTTTTGTATGTATTTTAATATTTTTTATCACAAGATGTAGTTTATAAAATGGGGATAACAACTTTTATAAAGAATTTTTGAGAAATAGATTTGAAAATAGGAATAGGAATACGAAAAATAGTTTTGAAAGTTGTGACATGAAATACAATTGAGGTCATTATTAGCTTCACCATATATTTTATGTTTATATTCCAATGATACCTGTCTTTGAAAAAACATTGTAACAATATTACATCATAAAAATAAATACCATGATAATGGAAGAGAAAATGTTAGATTACCCAGTGTATTTTAGAAATCAGAGTAAATATGTTGTACTCCTTTTAGTTTTTTAAAGGATTTTGGTTTTAGATATTCATCGGACCAGAGCTTTATTTATTTCTTAGTTTTTATTTCTTAATTTTATATCCAGAAAATAAATAGCCTCTAAAGAACAATTTTTAAAATCTATTCTGGTTTATTATCCTTAATATATAGAGACCAGCATAAAGTCAATACTGTGTTAAAAATGGATCAAGTAACTTGTTACTAATTCCTTGCGTAATTTCAAATTTATTTTATGAGCTATTTGGCTAGCTGGTATAACTGGTAATGTTTCTGACATAGGTATTCTTATGCAATAGTTGGAATCAATCTGACAGAGATGGCTTATAGCTTGCTGAAGAGTGAAGCTCTGAAATTTCATCTCTACAACTTTGTTCCTGGTGTACCAACAATGGAACACTTTCACCAGTTTTATTGTGAGTATTAAGAAGAGTTAAAACTAGATATTTCTAGGAGAATGTTTAAATCATTAGGAAGATATAACACCCCTATCAAGTATATATATGCCTTATCCTTGTCATTTTATTATTTAGGATCTTTGGAAAAATGGAAAATAATGAAAGATGGGTTCCCAAGAATATTTTGCACTTGTTTCTGTGTTTGTTGATTTAAAAAATTCAGTGAAGCAATTTTTTCACATGTATGCAAATTTGTATTTATGCAGCTTTTCTATAGGTATCCATTTCTCAATCAACTATAAAGTGAATTTTCCCTCTTGAATACTGATTAATGAATGCTATTGAGTCAAGGACAGACCACTTACAGAGTATTTGTTGCACTTGTAAGGAAATTTAATTTAACCAACCCCCACCCCACCATTTCAAGTTGCGGTGGTCTTGTGTTTGGTTGGGCTACTTAATCACTTTCCCTGAAACAGTCAATATTACCACTGTTTCATTAACTTTTATTCTGGTGATATTTGACCACTGAGGTTTAATTGAATGAACCCATCTTCTGAAGATACTGCTCAGAAGCAAAGAATTCAAATCCAGCTTAGCTTTTATGCTCTACTTTTCTTGATCATTTGGAGTCTTTAGAATGCCTTCTGCATGTTGGCAGGAGATAGGAAACTACTTAGGTCATACATGGCCACATCATAACTTCTTCAACGCCGCGGCGAAAGGCGTCACCCAGGGCTCCTCCCACAGCCTCCCCTGTCTTGACTTAACTCCAGGTGTGTTCCTAGATTTCTCTTGCGTCTGTCCACTGTTTCCCATCCCCATTGTAACTGTGTGACCTCAGGCCTTTGTCACTAAGTTAAGCTTATTTAGAGTTTATTTTTTTTTATAAAGAGAAGTTGCTGATAGTTCATTGAAAAAAGTGGAAATGTCTCTGAGATTTAGAAATCAAATAGAAAACAGCTTTCCTGTAAATTATCCTTGTCCAACATTTTCTTGTTACTTTAATTTTTGTGTTTCAGGGGTCTCTGGGGTTAACTTTGTTTTGTATTCTCAAGGTATCTTTTAACAATATTATCTTCTTAAGTTTGAGGGATTTTGTTGAAATTGCTGTTTATTTTGAATGTACGAAAATATTTCTTATAGTGTGCCTCAGGTTTCTAGTAGTCTAATATGATTTCTGATTATTTTATGCTAATATGGAATTTAAAGGATGGTCATATACTTAAAATGAGATGGTTTGGATGTGCTATCACTACTGAGCACTATGTTTTTGTTTTTGTTTTTTTTTAACTGCAGGTTATCTTGTCTATGAATTTGACAAGTTTTGGTTTGAAGAAAAGCCAGAAAGCATTATGTATTTCAACATATATAGAGAGAAATTTCATGAAAAGATTAAAGGACTCTTACTGGATTATAATGTGTCACTTACCTTAAAAATATGAATCATCCCTCATATCTTCTATTTCTACCACATTTTGCACACACAGCAGAATTTATATGTTGTAGTAGAAATTTTCTGATCAATTACACTACTTATATGTAATTTCCTACAAAAATTTTTCAGAAATTCTATTTCAGAAAGCTAGTGGACAATCAGTGTATGTTTACAGTTGTTTATACACTGTTCTCCAAAGGTAACTTCTGCTTCCAAAGATCCCCTCTGTGGAGTCATGGGAACTACAGTTTGGAACTTGGGACTTATCCCATTTAATATAAAAGTACAAATCAGGTACTGTATTTGTATTAAATTGGTTGATTAAAATGTGTAAATATCAGTTTTCACTTTATGTGTAGCTATCAAGTTGGTATCTTTGCAAAGCTCTTAAAATGTTTTGTTGAGTTTGGACATGATAGTTCTGTATTTTCTTTCCCTTATTTGTAAGTTAATTAGGAGGGGGAGTAGTTCTTCATGGTTTTTGTTTGTTCGAATCTCAGGCAGATGTCCGTGTTGCATCGATTGTAGCAACGAGAGCATAGGTGTATCAGGAGGAGATGCGTGGCCTCCATTTTGGCTCGTCTGATTATTTAACATCACAGATCATGTTAGAATGACAGTGTTGGCGACAAGCTTTTTGGTTTTAAAACACACTTTGAAATATTACAATGTTATTTGTAAGATTTAAGATATTTCCTCATCATGAGTCTTTGCTTTTTGTTAGTGGTAGAAAAGCACCTGAGTTAGTGCTTGGTGTAAGAGCCTAGCTCTACCTGTGTGTGCTTATGAAAAGAGAGGTATTTGCTGAGAATATTTTGATTGTATTCAAAGGACAGTTGCTGTGTCAATAAAGCTGTCTTTGAACTTAAACAGCATGACACCTTAAAATCTCAGTTAAATATCATTGGTTTATTTTATTTACTGTTAACTCTTGTGTGTCTGCTCTGACTCCATAGTGTTTCTAGTTGATGATGTATAGACTTTATGGATTTTCTTTGAGGTAACAATCTGTGGGATTCTAAAGTAGCCTGAGGATGACAACTGCATTTTGAATAGCTTTATTCTCTTAAAATCTCAGGACGGCAGCACGTGTGTTAAGGCTTATGCAGTGATGAGGTTCTAAAGGGAACGGTTTCTTCTTTGTATGTGTCAGATGTTAGTTCTCATGGCAAAACTCAAGTTTGAAGATAGGGTCATATGATTACTAAGTTCTTAAATCCTACAGAAGCCAGCCTGCTAAAGACTTACGTTAAGCTAAAACACAAAGACCTGAGGCTTTCAAGTATTTGTTCATGTTTATGAGCAAACCTCTCTTCAAACTTAAAGAGTGGTAAAAAAATATTCGATTGTGGTGTAAGAGCGGTGGTGTTGTGTAGCACATTAAAAGTGTACGCATTCAAATTATGATTTTCTCAAGATAAAACTATTTTAAAAATTGGGTTCATTTTATTATGGTCCTGGCAGTTTAGCTATTCGTCCAGTATTAGAGGAGTCTAACAATTTTGTGTCTTGTAGGGGACTCCACCTTGGGAGCATTTTCATTTCTTAACATGTTTTCCAATGCTTTTATCACCCATCTGGAGTTCTGTGAGGAGAAGTAGTAGCACCCTGATAAGGATCAAGTGTTAACCATCAGTTTCTTTTCATCAAGGTGTTTCCTAATACATGGAAAGCAACTCTGTTAGTCTTTGAATTTTTGTGTGAAAATACTTGTATTTTAATTTTTCAGCAACTGAGATCTTAAACTGATTTAAACCTTTGTCATTATGCCTAATAAAAGAATGGCTCAAGAATGGGAGGGGAAACTTGTAATTAAGTTTTTCCCTTTCTAGGAAGAAAAAAATCTTTTTAATATTTTTAAAATGTCATTAGAAAGTTTTGTCAGTAATATATTCTTTTAAATCCACCTCAATTTGTACAATACAGATACTGTTTTGTTTTTGCTTAAAATAATCAGTAACCATTTCAGACGGTTCTATAGTGAACTGGTCTAAGCCACCAACAGATTCTAAGGTTTGAGTCTGAAAGCCAAACTAAATGTCACCGGTTGTAAATTAGAATGTAACATGAGCCTTCTGACTTTTATGTGATAGTGACAGAGATGAAAAGAGAAATATGATAATTGTGTCTGCCTTCCTACTTTTCCTTGTTCTCCACATACATTAGAATTTATGTAGTCTTAGAATCCATGTTGAGAACCTTTCCTGTTTCTATAATAATTAGTAAGTACCAAAGTAGTGATAGAACTTAAGTACCAGGAAAGGTATGTTTGTTTTAGCATCAAAAAAGTGAGTCAGTGTTGAAATGAATTTTTGTGTCTGCCAGTTTGAAGAGCATGTGCCAATGACAAGAATTGTCTGAAAAAAATAAACAGTTGTAGCTCAAATACTATGTTCTGAAAGACAATCTCTTTAAAAAATGGGAGAAATCAGAGGATATCAGTGAACCTAGACCAGCCTCTCTCTATATATAAATACAGTGATATAGATAGAAAAGTCAGTCTTACTGGCACCATTTATAGTTTAGAAAACAGCCTTTTTCTTGAGAATGCCCATCCTGAACTTTTTCTCTTTTAAGAGCTACTTGGATTTGTATGTACTTTTCTATGTCAAAACCTATGTATTTTTCATTCTTTATTCCAGTGTCCAAGGCGGTTTATGTCTATTTCTGTCCTTTGTGTTCACTGAGGTAGAACTTGCTCAAAGATCTGCTCATGACATGAGTGTGAGAAGTCGGAAGCTCGTGGCCAGGGCGGGAGGGGTCACAGGCTGCGAAGAGAAGAGGTTTGGCTTGGAGGGCAGTAGTGCTGCGTATCCTCCGTGAGTAAATGAGGAGGGACCAGCAGCTGTTTTCTTGGGATAAACGGCCCATCCACCTTCTCTAAGAACAAGTCTGGGGAGGCTTACTTTCTGTTTTCATGTTTATGAACCTCTCCACATCAGAAAATTTTCCATGAAAATTAATGGATTTGTTAAAAATCTGAAAGAAAATACCATGAGTGAGCTTTCTTTTCCCTTTTTTTTTTTCCTGGATTCAGCTTTTGACAAAAAAATTTAAATGAAGTGCTGGTAAGACCTAAGTATGGCAATACTATGTATGATAGGGTGATTCTATGTTTCTGTTTAAGTAGTCAACAAATATTTAAGCAGTAGCTTTCCCTGGCGGGGGGGAAGTGCTGGCTGGCAGCTTAAAGATAGATTTTTGTCTACTTTGGATAAAGCAATTAATTTCTTATGTAAAAGCAATAGTTGAGATGTCATGTCATATTGTTTGGAATGCTGTGAGCAAATAAAAAACGTTGAAACTTTTATAAGCCTTGCTGTTAATACTTCTGCTCTCTTCCCATCCTGCCATCCCTTATTTAAGTCATTTATGTTCATGAAACAATGTTTTTTTTCAATTTTTTATCTTTCTTGTATTTTTTATCACCAGTGCCCTTACACCCTCCTCTCTCCACAATCACCACACTGTTGTCCATGTCCATGAGTCCTTTTTCCTTTTCTGCTCAATGCCTACACCCCCCGCCCCCCCGCCGGATGGTGTGGTTGGAGCTGTGGTTCCCCCGCACACTCACTCTTCTGCAGGGCTGGCTCCCCTGGGCTCTCTTCCTTTCCCCGAGAGTGGTCGGTCTCTCTGGCTCCTTGTCTCTCTCTCTCAGGTTTTCCTGTCTGAAAGCCCCACTGAAGCAGGCACCCAGTGCTCTACAGCTGGAGCTTCGGTCTCTGGGGACAGGCATTGCGCTCACCCTCTGTGGCTGTGGAATGGTTATTCGCATGGGAAACAAATCATCAGAGAGCTGGGTGAAAAGTGACCATTTGGAGAAAAAAGATAAATCACTATAGATGGAAATCTAAGAGAAAAACCCGTGAGATACTAAAAAGACATAACCCAACCCTTGACAAGACAGGAACTTTAATCCTTTCTTTTTTCAGAAAAATGCTTCTTGAAATGCACTGCCTGCCTTAGGAGTGAGCTGATGAGCCTGTCTGCTAGACTACGCTGAGAATAATCAATTCGGAGGCTCAGGGCTCCTGGAGAAGCGAGCACAGGCAAAAACTTGCCTCAGAGAGCACGTTGCCACTGTGACAAAAAGCCCTAGGATGTTAAGGACACTATTAGAAAAGCATCGAGAGAGACATATGCTGTCAAGAGTCTCCCTTTCCCCGCAACAATGGAAAATTTTGCTTCTCTTGGTAATCTAGGGCTACACAGTTAAAGACATGCTTATTCCCCTCCCAAAGCTTGACAGTATCAGATTTTGAAGTTATTTCCTGAGGCATCTTCCAAGTGACTTTTAGAAACACATGATGAAATAATGTGTAAAAATCTTAGAGTCAAGTCAAATAAATGACTATAGACCCTCCATTAAATACATTAACAAATGGTATTACAGCATAATAAGGAAACAGGAATTTTCAACCTTTAATTGTTTATGTAGGATGAGTCAAATACTCAACTGATAAAAATTCCTTTCCTTATTTTAAGTACATGCATTATATGCACATGCTTGCGTATAAAAATATTTACTTAGTCAAAACAGTGCCTGATGTAATTCCCCCGTAAAGTTGTCTAAAGAATACAGTTACCGCCTTAGGCACTCAGTCACTGAGACAAAAGCCGTATCTGAGTATCTGATGTATTTTATTTGTTCACATTATCTTATTTGAGGTTAACACTACTTCATTTGACAGTTTAAAAATCATTCTGTAAACAAAATAAAAACCCAGCAGCAACAGCTAAAATAAGGATACAATGTATAATAAAATAAAGGAATGCGTCGAAAGGAATATTCTGAAGAAGAAGCAAAGGAACCATGACCATGATTATGAATTCAACAGTAAGAGGGGAAAAAACCCTCCAACACCTGAAACAAGAACAGTAATAACAGAGAAGCACGACTCCAAAGTGCAGGTGTGCTAGTTTTCACGTCCACATCCATTCAGGAAATAGAGCGCACGATTCTTTTATATAAAGTGACAAGTTCTGCTTGAAAACATTCAGGTACGTTACCTTGCAGGTTTCCCGTCTGCAGTCTACATGATCGCTACATTGATTTAATTGGAAAGATGGTCGTATGCAATACATGGTACAATTTCTGGATTCTATGGAGAGTATGGAGATGGTAAAGTTTATTTCTTTTTTGCTTTATTTGCAATGAGTAACATGAAGCTGAAAATCCAGTATCAGAAGCATCAGTACTTTTATTCTTTCCAAAAAGAAAAAAAAAAATCCCGAGCCCTCTGTCACCTTCATTTCCACTTTGACTCTCTGTAACAAAAGACTGTTCATTTTCACTGAATTCTGGCAGCTGACATAAATAATAACTTTTTTAATGCAAAATTGGTCTGGTGTTTGTCCGAATTGACCAAATAGAACCATTACTCTGGCATCACATAAAAATCATACTTTCATAATTGGTTAGAATCTCAAATGTTTTCCCCTTGCAGGGGAATTTCTGTTGAATATAATTTTTGAATAGAGGACTTCTTATGAAACATATTTCAAATCTTAAAAAATAGTTTTAATGCTCCCCGAAGTGGTATAGGAATTTACCCTAGCTGACAATGCCTATTCCATTTAAGATCATTTCATTTTCCTTCCAGCTCTGATTTTATTTTAAAAAGCCCAAATACACAAATGGCTGCTGCCTTGTTTAGCGTTAAGCTGCACTATATATTTTTTTTAACCATGTATACAGCTCAACAGCAAGACTAAGAAGTTATAATACACACAGATCACAAACAGGTTCATCTTTTTTTGGA